CCGACTCTCGTCCGCCCGCGCGGGCCGTCTGATTGCCATGGGTTCCGGGACCCGGCGGGATGTCGGGGCGGACCCGCCCCACGCGGGCGGGCCGGCCCCGGCGCTCCCATCGCACCGTGCCGGGCCAATCCGAGTGCTCGCCGGACCGAAGGCCCGAACTGCACGACAAGAGGGAGGGGAGCGGCCGACGCTCTCCGCCCGGGGGCCGCCGCGGGGCCCCCTCGGTTCTCCGTCCGTTCCAAATTTTCTCCCGAAAAAAAAAGTCCGAGGGTCCCGACCCACCGTGCCCCGCCGCAAGGCCCCACGGGGGACTCTCGGGGGCCGGCCCGCCACGCCCGGCCCCGCCTCAAACGCTTCGGACTTGCCTCGCAAAAAGTCCGAGGGGACCCGACCCACCGTGCCTCGCCGCAAGGACCACGGGGGGACTCTCGGGGGCCGGCCCGCCACGCCCGGCCCCGCCTCAAAGGCGTCGGACTTGCCTGCAAAAAAGTCCGAGGGGACCCGACCCACCGTGCCACGCCGCCTGGCCCACCGGGGGACTCACGGGGGCCGGCCCGCCACGCCCGGCCCCGCCTCAAACGCTTCGGACTTGCCTGCAAAAAAGTCCGAGGGGACCCGACCCACCGTGCCCCGCCGCCTGGCCCACCGGGGGACTCTCGGGGGCCGGCCCGCCACGCCCGGCCCCGCCTCAAACGCTTCGGACTTGCCTGCAAAAAAGTCCGAGGGGACCCGACCCACCGTGCCTGGCCGCAAGGCCCACGGGGGACTCTCTCGGGGGCCGGCCCGCCACGCCCGGCCCCGCCTCAAACGCTTCGGACTTGCCTGCCAAAAAGTCCGAGGGGTACCCGACCCACCGTGCCCCGCCGCCTGGCCCACCGGGGACTCTCGGGGGCCGGCCCGCCACGCCCTGCACACTCTGGACTTCTCCTGCAAAAAGTCCGGCCCGACCCACCTTACCGAGCCCGTCTAGTTCCTCTCGTGGGTCGGACACAGGGGATTGCCCATGTGGTGGCCCGCTCCATATGTTTTGTGCACAGCTCTGGACCACCACCCCCTTATATATAGGCACACCATGGCGATTGCCTCTCTTTGGGGCTCTCCCATAGGGTTGTGTAGAAAAAATTCCTTAAATCGGCTGTCGAGTTTGGGGCGAGTTGGTCGCGTGGGCCAAACGGCGCGATTTGCCCACGACAGGGACTCCGGCGCCCGTTCTCGGACTCGACCCAATCCGTACAAATGTCGCGTTTTGGGGGCGACTTGTGCGGGCCGTCCGAAGCGCCCAAAAGACCCACTGGAAGGCTCGGCCCCGTCCGGTGAATTTTTCCGCTTCGGACTTTTCCTCCAGAAGTCCGAGAAGACCTAAACACCGTGCCTGGCCCGAAAGGCCCGTGGGGGACTTCCGGGGGGCCGGTCCGCAATCTCCGGTCGCGCCTGCATCTTCGGACTTGTGCTCCAGAAGTCCGAGGGGCCATACCCCACCGTGCCTGTCCGCAAGGCCCACGGGGGACTCTCGGGGGGCCGGTCCGCGATCTCCGGTCCCGCCTGCATGTTCGGACTTGTCCTCCAGAAGTCCGGGCGGCCCTATCCCACCGTGCCTGTCCGCAAGGCCCACGGGGGACTCTCGGGGGGCCGGTCCGCAATCTCCGGTCGCGCCTGCATCTTCGGACTTGTGCTCCAGAAGTCCGAGGGGCCATACCCCACCGTGCCTGTCCGCAAGGCCCACGGGGGACTCTCGGGGGGCCGGTCCGCGATCTCCGGTCCTGCCTGCATGTTCGGACTTGTCCTCCAGAAGTCCGGGCGGCCCTATCCCACCGTGCCTGTCCGCAAGGCCCACGGGGGACTCTCGGGGGGCCGGTCCGCGATCTCCGGTCCCGCCTGCATGGTCGGACTTGTGCTCCAAAGTCCGAGGGGCCATACCCCACCGTGCCTGTCCGCAAGGCCCACGGGGGACTCTCGGGGGGCCGGTCCGCAATCTCCGGTCCTGACTGCATGTTCGGACTTGTCCTCCAGAAGTCCGGGCGGCCCTATCCCACCGTGCCTGTCCGCAAGGCCCACGGGGGACTCTCGGGGGGCCGATCCGCGCTCTCCGGTCCCGACTGTTATGCTCGGAGTAATGCTCGGGTTAACGCTCGGTCCCCAAGTACAAGTCCGGGCGGCCCTATCCCACCGTGCCTGTCCGCAAGGCCCACGGGGGACTCTCGGGGGGCCGTTCCGCAATCTCCGGTCCCGCCTGCATGTTCGGACTTGTCCTCCAGAAGTCCGGGCGGCCCTATCCCACCGTGCCTGTCCGCAAGGCCCACGGGGGACTCTCGGGGGGCCGATCCGCGCTCTCCGGTCCCGACTGTTATGCTCGCAGTAATGCTCGGGTTAACGCTCGGTCCCCAAGTACAAGTCCGGGCGGCCCTATCCCACCGTGCCTGTCCGCAAGGCCCACGGGGGACTCACGGGGGGCCGTTCCGCAATCTCCGGTCCCGCCTGCATGTTCGGACTTGTCCTCCAGAAGTCCGGGCGGCCCTATCCCACCGTGCCTGTCCGCAAGGCCCACGGGGGACTCTCGGGGGGCCGATCCGCGCTCTCCGGTCCCGACTGTTATGCTCGGAGTAACGCTCGGGTTAACGCTCGGTCCCCAAGTACAAGTCCGGGCGGCCCTATCCCACCGTGCCTGTCCGCAAGGCCCACGGGGGACTCTCGGGGGGCCGATCCGCGCTCTCCGGTCCCGACTGTTATGCTCGCAGTAATGCTCGGGTTAACGCTCGGTCCCCAAGTACAAGTCCGGGCGGCCCTATCCCACCGTGCCTGTCCGCAAGGCCCACGGGGGACTCTCGGGGGGCCGTTCCGCAATCTCCGGTCCCGCCTGCATGTTCGGACTTGTCCTCCAGAAGTCCGGGCGGCCCTATCCCACCGTGCCTGTCCGCAAGGCCCACGGGGGACTCTCGGGGGGCCGATCCGCGCTCTCCGGTCACGACTGTTATGCTCGGAGTAACGCTCGGGTTAACGCTCGGTCCCCAAGTACAAGTCCGGGCGGCCCTATCCCACCGTGCCTGTCCGCAAGGCCCACGGGGGACTCTCGGGGGGCCGATCCGCGCTCTCCGGTCCCGACTGTTATGCTCGGAGTAATGCTCGGGTTAACGCTCGGTCCCCAAGTACAAGTCCGGGCGGCCCTATCCCACCGTGCCTGTCCGCAAGGCCCACGGGGGACTCTCGGGGGGCCGTTCCGCAATCTCCGGTCCCGCCTGCATGTTCGGACTTGTCCTCCAGAAGTCCGGGCGGCCCTATCCCACCGTGCCTGTCCGCAAGGCCCACGGGGGACTCTCGGGGGGCCGATCCGCGCTCTCCGGTCACGACTGTTATGCTCGGAGTAACGCTCGGGTTAACGCTCGGTCCCCAAGTACAAGTCCGGGCGGCCCTATCCCACCGTGCCTGTCCGCAAGGCCCACGGGGGACTCTCGGGGGGCCGATCCGCGCTCTCCGGTCCCGACTGTTATGCTCGGAGTAATGCTCGGGTTAACGCTCGGTCCCCAAGTACAAGTCCGGGCGGCCCTATCCCACCGTGCCTGTCCGCAAGGCCCACGGGGGACTCTCGGGGGGCCGATCTGCGCTCTCCGGTCCCGACTGTTATGCTCGGAGTAACGCTCGGGTTAATGCTCGGGTTAACGCTCGGTCCCCAAGTACAAGTCCGGGCGGCCCTATCCCACCGTGCCTGTCCGCAAGGCCCACGGGGGACTCTCGGGGGGCCGATCCGCAATCTCCGGTCCCGACTGTTATGCTCGGAGTAACGCTCGGGTTAATGCTCGGGTTAACGCTCGGTCCCCAAGTACAAGTCCGGGCGGCCCTATCCCACCGTGCCTGTCCGCAAGGCCCACGGGGGACTCTCGGGGGGCCGATCCGCGCTCTCCGGTCCCGACTGTTATGCTCGGAGTAACGCTCGGGTTAATGCTCGGGTTAACGCTCGGTCCCCAAGTACAAGTCCGGGCGGCCCTATCCCACCGTGCCTGTCCGCAAGGCCCACGGGGGACTCTCGGGGGGCCGTTCCGCAATCTCCGGTCCCGCCTGCATGTTCGGACTTGTCCTCCAGAAGTCCGAGGGGCCCTATCCCACCGTGCCTGTCCGCAAGGCCCACGGGGGACTCTCGGGGGACCGGTCCGCAATCTCCGGTCCCGCCTGCTTGTTCGGACTTGTCCTCCAGAAGTCCGAGGGGCCCTATCCCACCGTGCCTGTCCGCAAGGCCCACGGGGGACTCTCGGGGGACCGGTCCGCAATCTCCGGTCCCGCCTGCTTGTTCGGACTTGTCCTCCAGAAGTCCGGGCGGCCCTATCCCACCGTGCCGGTCCGCAAGGCCCACGGGGGACTCTCGGCGGGCCGTTCCGCGCTCTCCGGTCCCGACTGTTGCGCTTCGGACTTGTCCTGCAGAAGTCCGAGTCGAAGCGCGAGGGGTCAAGCCGCGTCTTTCGCGATTTCCGGTAGGGGTGCTGTGGCCGCTCGGCTCGGACCGGCCCTCCGTCTGTCTGTCTGTCTCTCTCTTTATCTCGACCGGCCGCCCGTCCTCTCTGCCGAAAGATTCGCCCGTCTGCGGTG